GTAAATACTGTAATTTTTGTAAATATTGTAATTTTTGTATCAATAATAGGTTTTTCGTAATTAAAATTATTTTTGTGTTTAAAATAATTATCAGTAACACAATTTGTCACACATAAAATTTTATCATATGATTTTTGTAGATCACATAAATCAACGTAGTTGCATTTTTAAAAAATTTGATACAAGTTTTAAATATAAAAAATAATGCTTATTAAAACAAAAACATTGCTGAGGTTTTTACGAATTAAACGGTATAAATTGCATAAAAAACTAACAACTCCTTACAAAGTTCAATGCCCTCAAAGATGGGCAACCATTCTGTCTTTGTAAGTTAGATTAGTTGTCAGTTTGCAAGGTACCAGCTTGAAAAGTAGTTTATTAGTTGCGTCTAAGTAAGAGCTTTCTGCAAACCTTTACCTTTAAGTGCTAGTGCATTATGAACATGGGGAGTAAAATCAAGAGGAACTGTTTTGTGATATATAGATTTATATTAATTGCTAATTCATTTTGTCTTCGTGAGTTAGTTTAGTTGTCAGTTTACTTGAAAAGTAGTTTATTAGTTGCGTCTAGGTGAGGGCTTTCTGCAAACCTTTACCTTTAGGTGCTAGTACATTATGAACATGGGACGTGAAACTGATTTGTGATATATAGATCATATTAATTGCTGATTCATTTACGATTTCATTAAAATTTACTAATTTTTTTTTTTTTTTTAATTAGATTTTTTATTAAATAAGAATATTCTTAGAACAAAAAAAAATGTCTATATATGTAGTACAGTCAGACTTCTCTAAGTACATGCTCTTGGTATTATAACAACATGCATTTAGATAATAAGAAAAAAATGTATTTAAAGTTAAATATACATTTGGCCAGAATTCGAGTGTTCATGTAGAGAGGGTGTGTACTTATAGAAGGTGCATTTAGAAAAGTCTGACTGTATTAAATGAAAGCCATAGTGTCCTTTATTTCAAATTTATGGGGTTTTTTTTCTTATTTTTTCGATCTTTTATATCGATTATACCACTGATCTTTAATTCTTTTTGGTGTTCAATGATTAGTATGCAGAGACAATGCTTCTGCTAGTTCATTGATGACTTCATTTAGTAATTCAGCAGAGTTTTCAAATTCTTCAAGTCATTTCAAAAGCTCCTCTTCTTCATTCGAAGGGTTGTGTCTTGCATGCTTTACCAATGAAGAGATTTGTACAGGATTTGTTGAGGATAACGATTGTACAAGATCTGTGGTTTGTACAGAATCACTGTTTATTACTTTCACTTTTTTTGCTTTTTCTTTTTTACCCTTCTTTATTTCTATTACTTTCATAGGTATTAGTATATGCTTACTTCGTCTTTCTATTATCTGAGTAGTAGTATGAAGAATATTATATTCAACAACATTGATCATTCTTTTAATTCCTATTTGATAACAGTGAACATTCATTGGTAACTATCCTCTGTCAATTGTGTAGTAGTTTCCATGAATAAAGTATGTGATTCCGGTTGTATATTGCTAAATGCTGATTTGTGCTTATTGATTAATTTCCAAAGAGCTTCTTGACGATTTTTAATAGATTGTAAACTTTTGCTTACTGAATGATCTCCTGAAAATTCTGAAATCAAGAGGTTAAGTCGTTTGTGCTCGGACTGTATTGCTTTAATATTTTGTTTTAAATTATCTAAATTAGTTGCATATCCAGTCATATTTTCTTTTACAAATTTTACTCCAAATGTTTCTAGAGCTTCGTCAAAAGCAAAATAATACCCTTCTTGGGTTAAATTGACTGAGAGTATTGTTCGAAGAGTTTGAAAAAACTGTGGATTTCTTTGAAGGTCTGACAAGAATTGTGCTACAGATTCAGTATATCTTATTCTTCCAGTTACAGAAAATAAAGAAGCGAATGCCATCAAGCTATACATCTGTAAATCGAAGTTTGCCATATGAATGCCAAGCTTATACAATTTCAAATAACCAACCCATTGATAAAAATTATACCATACTTTTAGCAAATTATTGTTTTTTAGTAGAAATATCATTAATAGAAATTTGTTTATCCTGAATGTATAGATGAATCGCAACTCCAACTGCTATCCAAATAATAAATTTTTATGACCTTGAATTTTTGGCATTGGTGTAGTCCACGATTTGCTCGGATGACTATGTGTAGTAATGCTAGGTTCAGGTTTTTTGATAACACGCTTTTTCACAATTTTTTGTATATTTGCAGGCATGAATTTTTTCCATGGGCCAATTCCAGGCAATGACCTTGCATAAATATATCCTATTTCGGCTTCATTATTGGGCCAAGACCACTCGTGCCAGTTTCGAATTCCCGCCATTGTTCCTAGTGTTGAATTGCTATCACCTGCATTGTTTGATATGTACATTTATTACCTACACTGGTAAAATTTAAAACATTCGCCGTGTTGAATGGCATGATTCGAATGCCACTCGAACTGCTATTCAACACTATTACATGATTTCGCGGACATACGTGTCCGTGAAATCATGTGA